CAAAATATCCCAAATGTGAACAATGACATTCCCTATCTCTGGCGTAAAACGCTGTGAGTAGATCACGGTTTACTTTTCTTATTCCGGTGGCGGCCTTGTTCTTCGTTCGAAGCTGTCACTGACATGCAAGCGGGCTGGAGTCTGTTGATTTTCATGTCTTCAGTATAGGGTGGTACAGTTAACATGAATTTCTTTTGCGAACACTCTGATTTCCCTCTTCCAAAATGGTACGGACATGATATAAATTCAGCTGATAGATCAAGGGAACCATTTTGAATTCACAGACGGGACCCCCGCAGTGCTAATGACCGACTGTTGGTCCGATATTCAAAGCGCGGCGGTAATGTGACTTTTCAAATTTTCTTATAGGTGTCATGCAAACTAACGACATGGCGCTTGAATTACCATATGTTGAAGAAATTCTTCCAAAAGGATCTTGTGCGTCGGTGCTGTTTTGTTTGCAAACACAACTGCAGGCGCATGTTGTTAAGGCGTATGCACAGAAATGTCAACAATGCCCATATTTGAGCATGTATCAATATTCATGCGCAACCAGATTTTGCAACCGGTTTCTGTTTGGTCTGTCAACGAACGAAATTTGTATTTACACTTAAATATATATTTAACGTGGTAAATAAATAAAATACAACACTCATTCTCATTAAATACCATTTTTACGAAGCTCGTGAACTTTCATTGTTATTTGACCTCGCTTTCGCTCGGTCAGATACTTGAAGTAAAGGTGTGTTCAACCAGTGAAAGTCCACTCGTTTCGTAAAAATGGTATCTAACGAGAATCAGTGTAGTATTCTCTATGTATCCAGATAAGTCATGAATCACTGGACTGCATGTTGAATGTAAGTTGTACGTGTATCCAGATATGTCAGGAATCACTGGACTGCATGCTGAATGTAAGCTGTACGTGTATCAAATAAGTCTTGAATCCCTGGACTGCATGCTGAATGTAAGCTGTACGTGTATCAGATAAGTCAGGAATCACTGGACTGCATGCTGAATGTAAGCTGTACGTGTATCAAATAAGTCTTGAATCCCTGGACTGCATGCTGAATGTAAGCTGTACGTGTATCAGATAAGTCAGGAATCACTGGACTGCATGCTGAATGTAAGCTGTACGTGTATCAAATAAGTCTTGAATCCCTGGACTGCATGCTGAATGTAAGCTGTACGTGTATCAGATAAGTCAGGAATCACTGGACTGCATGCTGAATGTAAGCTGTACGTGTATCAAATAAGTCTTGAATCCCTGGACTGCATGCTGAATGTAAGCTGTACGTGTATCCAGATAAGTCAGGAATCACTGGACTGCATGCTGAATGTTAGCTGTACGTGTATCAGATAAGTCATTCATCACTGGGCTGCATGTTGAATGTAAGCTGTACGTGTATCAAATAAGTCTTGAATCCCTGGACTGTATATTAAATGTAAGCAGTGCTTGTTTCAAATAAGTCATATCTCACTGGACTGCATATTGAATGTAAGCTGTACGTGTATCAAATAAGTCATTAAGCCCTGGGCAACATGTTGAATGTTGGCAGTACTTGTATCGAATAAGTCACACGTCACTGGGCTGCATGTTGAATGTAAGCAGTACTTGTATCAAATACATCATTCGTGTTATGAATCGCTGGGCTGAGTGGTGAAGCTATACCTGTACCAGATCAGTCATACGTCACTGAACTGTATGTTGAATGTAAGTTGTACGTGTATGCAGATCAGTAATGAATCCCTGAGCTACATGTTGAATGTAAGCTGCACGTGTATCAAGATAAGTCATACGTCACATTGCAAAGTATGTAAATTCTGTAAACCTGCAAGGTACCTTCTAAAACTAAGGTTGTTTTGTTTGTTCAATTCAGTACCAACTGCAAGATGTTGATTATATTGAGTTCCCCATGAACAGTATGCATTCTGTGCTCATGAGCATTAAGTTCACTATGAAATGTGTATATGCTCTGTATTGAAATGTAATGAAGTGCATAATTATGCGATTATGTTGAAATGCGTGATTTAAAAACCTACAATACAGAATCAATACATGCTACATTGCGACTAGCGAGCCCGAGTCGAACATCACGTTACCAGGGTCAACTTGCACAAAACAATCTGAGCACTGCAATAATTGTAAATCATTACGATCGCGATAGTAATCTTCGGCTACAATCGCCATCCAGTTGCACAAAGCGATTGCAGGCAAAGATCACTGTAAGCTACAATCGGAACTTGGTCAGGACCAAGGTTAAGTAGCTAATATCGTTGTCGTCACTGAATAAACTTGACAAAACGGCGTGCAAGAAAGGGTTTGTTTCATAAAAATAGTCTGCTTTACCTTCAAACGTTGTCATTTTATTTTGTTAAACCGTTTGATCCGAATCGGCTTTCAACAACACGAAGAACGCACCACAGTTTGAACCTCAGAAACACCGTTAAGTGCGATAGTGAACCACATAACTATAGCGTTGATAGGTAAAAGTACTGTCAACGCGCATGTTGACGGGGAATTAGCTCTTGGGGGAAAGAAGGACAAAATCGACATCACTGTCCCGGAACGCTTTATGCACAACATGTAAACAATAAACAACAATTGCACAATGAGCGGAATACCTGCTCTGACAACACAAACACAGCGATGAGCGGACCTTCCAGCTCAGGCGTACAAGAGGTGAGCGGAGCTCCCTACGAGCGGCACATTCTGCTCGAGGTCGTCCCTATGCCAGCACTCGGAATACCAAGCCTGACTAACACCCTAGTAACTGTGTAATGGTAGCACATATATAGTAATGAACAATGGAAATACAATGACGTTGCTCTGGACATGGGACATCCGGGGGTGACGTACCGACACAACTCAGGGGATGAACAATTAAGGCAATAAATGTCATACTATAAATAACAGTAATAAACGGGAAGTGATAAAGTAGCCCAGTTTGGCTGTCAGTCAATATACAATGAAATGTTGGTGAGGATTAACAACGGGGATTAGCGCCTAAAACGTAATGACAATTAAGTTATGGAGACATGGCTACAGGGTAATTTGCCTATGGAGTCAAATGTACTTCAGACAATGGTAGTCATAAATCAGTCGCTATGACAGTACTATTCCTACTCGATTCAACGCCGAAAGAAGTGTGAAACAGCATAATTTTTCGCTAATCCAAGGAAGGATTAAAACGGATGGGGTCCTCAAGTGATTATTGTAATATCCGTGACCTTTTGGATAACAAGGGCAGCTAATCTTAGTTTATACTCTAGATGGGAGTGGTTTTCCTTTGTATATGCCGCCGCCCGTATAGTCCAATCTACCTTGCCTAATGTATTATTGTTGTAAAATCGCTGACCTCCGCCTATACTTCTTTCGGTCACATTCCTGTAAGTGATTTTGTCTTGTGATCTACATTTAAATACAAGTTGAAGTGCTAAATCTTACAGTGGGACGAGGGCGATCGGTTTTAAAATATGAATATTACGTAAATGTATTCATTTAACAAGGATATATGCATAATGGGACATTTGAAATGTTTGTCAAATAACTATTTAAAAACAAGCATCAATGTAATATTGTTAAATAATTAATATCCAGTACATGTGACACAATGCTTTCTCGATATATTGATTTTTATTCTTATTTCCCTTCCATGAATTCTTCACAATCGTATGTCTTTATGTGTTTTAAAATGGTAATCATGGCATCTTTTATTATAGCACAAAACCTATACATATAGGATATATTTAGGCTTTTACAAAATACTCGTACCCTTCCCCGCAAGTAGATACGCATTAAATAGCGACCTGATGACAACCATTGGACGATCATACATTAACGGGTCGTAATATAAGGATAAATTGAAATAATTTCTTTTAATTTTCAAAATGATTTTGTTACCAAATATGGATTTATTTATTCTTATTTTAATATTTCCAAAACATGGGTAGGTATTTCTCTAGTTGTGAAATCAATCTCAAAATTCCAAAATTACAACAGTATCACTACAAACAAACGCCTATATGCCATCATTCTACTTATCGTTTCCATCAAATAGTTTGAACCTTTTGAAAAACTGCGCAAGGAGCGATAGAGGGAGGTACGTGTTGTGTGTCGTAACCGGTTCCACTATTGTTATGCGCAGCAACCTTTGCGCGTAGACAGGAGTCGAGTTAAACATAATCGTACCTCCACCGTTAAGGATTTCGATCTTCAATCCAAGCCGTCTTACAATCGGTTTGTGCAAGTGGAATAGGATAGTTGAACGGTGGTTGTAAAGTTGATTGCAGGCGCCTAAGATCGCTTGAATAAGATTGTTCTGTACATGTGGGCTTAGGTGTTGAAATACGTGCACACAGAGCATGACGAAATCGTGGAGGAACGTTATCAGGCCCAAATATAGAGGCGTCATACATACCAATCAGCGGACGCCATCAAGGTGTCGTGTTAGGAATTGGCGGTCCGTGTTAGAGTTCGTCTCCCGGGCCTATCCTCATGGATATTTTGCCATTACGGAAGCACCTGTTTTTTCATATAGTGCACTTCACAATAAATTTCAATAGGCCCATGGATGGACTCTCCAATATCAGAAAGATGAAGAGAGCCTTATAACATATGTACAGCCTTTACGATTGAGTGAATGAGATGCTATTAACGCCGCTTTGAAGAGTATTTCAGCTACGTCACGGCGTGTCAGCTTCTTGTGTTCAGAAAACCCAAAGTGAGGCAGGTCTCAGACGTTTGCCTCTGTGGTGATACACACAAGAAACATAACACTAGAAACATAATCAGGGTGAAACTTGGATTCGAACCGACGATCAGATGTCTCTGGTGCAACAAATGTTCACAACTCTGCAAAGCGAATTGCAGCATACAGACGAAAGACTATTAGTCGCACCCGCATGCCACGTCGTGATGAGTTAATTTACAGTTCAAAGCGTCATTCAAGCAAACTCACACAGTCAGTCACTCATTGAAATAATGAGATGAAACATAGATATAGAGCACATTTAGTTTATTTACTCATATTGTTGTCAACTAGATCTCGCGGTGTAGGTCAGTCTTTTTATGCCACTGCGTAAAAGAAAATAGGAATATCAGTTAAAAAGTATGTGTCAGTGTATCTTGTTTTCAAAAAAACCCACATCAAATATGATAAATTTGATTGTGGATTCCACAATTTGTAAAGATAGTTTTATGTTTACGTTTTTGAAACAAAGAAATTGGTTAAATAATATTTAAGACTTGAATTTATGGACACTTCTATACAAATAAACTTGTATTACCGGATCGATATCGTTTACTAGTATATGTGCGAAGCTGACCTGGCGATGATGTGAAGGACATGTAGAAACCTTCCCTTTGCACGGAACCGTCAGATGTGAAGGTGATCACAAAGGTTCCATCAGATTCTGAGGAGCAATAAACATAAAGTTACTGGAAGTACTAATACAGGTTTTACAGAAAGAAATTCATATGTGAAAGTATGCTAGGTTAAGCGTTTTATTTTTAATCTTAAAATACTTCAAAGTAACTAAAACTGTTTCTATTTTAGTGTTTCTTGTTCATCAGTTGTTTCAAGGTCACGGAAAGCAGAAATGATAAACATGTAATAGAAATTACAGAGGTGGAAAGTGAGCTACACTCACGGTATGTCTTGCTGCCGGGGCTGCTTCCACACAGTCTGTCTTCGCCCATGGTAACGGCGTCGTACATGCATCTGCTTGCACTCTCAATGTCAAATTCCTCGAAGGTGAAGTGGAGTTCAGCTGGCGTGGGAGTGTTGATGGTGTATGTGCATGCCATGTTGGGACTGTAGCCACCAGTGGGAGTTGCGAATGACCCGGATGTACCATTGATCACAGCAGTGGTGAAGTTGAAGTGAATACTGCTGTTCCTGGGGACATTGAAGACGTAGCTGCAGTTGAGGTTGTTCTGGTAGTCCTCCCCTGTACCAGGCAGGCTCTGGATCATGCCTTGGTCAGCAAGGGTAGAGAAGGTGCAGTTGCGATGGCTCCTGGGAACACCCCCTAAAACACAAAGATAGGCTTCTATCAGGGGAAGACAGCTCAATAGTCTTGTAGCATGTATGTTTGCATGTTGTCATTCAATTTTTTGAAAGTGCATGGGACATGGCCGACGACATCTCGACAATTCAGAATACAGTCATATCATAAATTACTCGAAATAAGTCTGATGAATTCGTAAAAATCCGTACCAAGAGGGAAATATAGCATGGTCTAGGAAATGCATAACCGAATGTCTGTCATAAATGTGAAATGTTGGACTTTCTCATACATGTATAAAATATCTGTGTGAAATGTAGACAAGTAGTAGGCAACCCCATGGGTACCAGTTGTCCTCGAAATTACCTCATCTGTTTTTAATGCATACGAGTCAGGATTTATGCTCGGGTATATAACTTACGCTTCAGGTATATTAATGATTTCATATCTTTGAATAATTGTCAAATAACCAATTACCAGTTACCTGATTTGCTCACCTGAGCCGGAAATAATAGATACCAGTGAAACCGCTACATCTGTTTTATATTTAGATATATGCATAAAAAATCAGTAATCACAATACTACGATACGAGCGAACAATATTACAATGTTTATCTCCATTTCTCAATCAAGCATGCTCTTTCTCCTAAGATTTTGAAGAGCGTCATACGACTCTTGCTCAAAGGTTGTTTTTTTTCAGGGTTAATAGAGTCATGGCATCAGTAAAACTTTCAAAAGTTTTATGGTAGGATATCTAAAAAAATGATGTTTGATGCAATTCCTTATTTCAGTTGTATCATATGTACCTGTTTGTTTCAGATGAGCATATGACTTGTCTTTGCATGTGTTTGTGATGGTGTCAGTCGGTTACGCTCATCTGTTCGTTAACACCTAGTATCCTCATTATTTGGAAGTGGTTCATAAACACATGCTTATGATATGGTCGGAATCTCACAATGGGCTTATCGTTATGGAAATGTTTTTTTTTTTCTTCCAAATAAATATTCAAATGCTTTCCTGTCCGCTCCGTGGTTCAACGTATTACTTAAACCCACTGACGAAAAGCTGGTCGGGAAGAGTAGTTGTCACGATTTGTGCCTTCATTTTCGATGAGACAAAGTTCAGAGAAAGGGAAAAGTTTCTTTGTTTCATATATAGCCTTAAAATCAACTATGAAACTATATTTACGAGATTCATTTCCGGTGGTTTCGGGAGAAGATGTTGCATTCAGGGAAGGCGAGGCTGTCACGTTCAAGGACGGAGCGGTGCTGTAGTTCAGGGAAGGCGAGGCTGTCACGTTCAAGGATGGAGTGGTGCTGTAGTTTAAGGCTGGCAGAGAACTATTTTCTTCGGATACTGTATCCATGAAAACAAATTTAGAATATATTGGAATTTGACGTCATACCTTTTGCATACAGAAAAACGATGGAAGTTGAAATTTGTTTTGCGTTCTTAAACCAATACGTATGTACATACCTGGGAGAGTGATATATAAGACATTGATGCCACGACCAACAATAGAGGCGTCACTATGGAAACACAACTAGAAACTGTCCGTACTGTTGACTGAAAAACCAACATGGTACAATCATTCATTATTAAGTAAGTTGCTGATTGGAGTATAATGCAAGATGTCTATTTAGTGTTGTTGCAATGGTGAGTCTTACAGCACATGACAAACCGGTAGATTGATAGGTCTGTGTAAGGTTTCTATATCTGAATAAGGTATTGTTGATAAACAAGTATTTCTATATGGCCATTTTAAAAACAATTTGACGGATAAGTACTTTGAGCATATAAATATAAAACGTATATGGTAATAGTGTGCCACTGACTACTCGATGTGAATATTGTTGTATATCCTTGAGGTATACTGCCGCAACGTGTTGCGTTGACAACGGAGTCAGGCTTGTGAATTCTAACACTTTGCAAAACAAAGAGAAGAAAAGAAAACCAAAAGAAAATATATTCTTCCTTACACGATCTAATGTATCCGAAATCCTTCGTGCCACAGTCGATCTCCGTAATACCGTCACTTGTTCCATAGGTAACATAGTCATAACTGCAGCGAGGACCTTGCTCAATGTCAAAGACACTAAACTCCAGATCGACCGTGAAAGAACCGCCAAAGTAAGGACGGAGCTCGAAGCAGCAGTCTTCGTTGTTTTGGTATTGACCAGAGCCAAACTCTATCTCTCCAATGAGATCTTCCCTCACGCCCCCAACACATCCTGAACATCATGGAAGATTATTTGAACACATTTTAATAAACGGACTGAACATATATGTTATCAAAATATGTGCTGGTCTTCATGTAGATCTTAGTTCTCGTTGTACCTCTCTTTCAAATGCAAGGTCCATCCTCAGGTAAAATACCCATAAATGATAGGTCCCTGTTGAACGATATCATAAACACGTTCATGTATATTCACTTGATGTATTAATAGAGGTACATATTGTATTCATCAAAATATCATCAGACTTCAAACTATGAACTAATTGATCAAAACTCATTGAAATATATACACCTTGAAATCATTTAAATATTCATATACTTTTTTTTATTTTCATTTTTATTTGTGTGAAATAACCACATTGAAATGTAGAAACCGGAATCGGTTAACGTAGATTAGTCCAAACAGTTCGGGCGTTTCATATTTAGCTGCGTTTTCATTTTTTAGCCCGTTAAAGCTGTGAACTTACTACTTCCAGCTTGTCGCTTGAACCGTGCTTTCTCATTCTGTTGGAGAAAAATAATATATATTGACTGTGGATGTATGAAGCACCCATAAAGGTATGGTTTGTATATTCAACGGCTTTTTGATAACCTCAGTATGATCTCATGACACTGCAAAATATCACTCATTAAAAAAACGCTTTAAAAGTTTTAACAGCCAAGAATTCTTGATCTTTTTAGCCGAACACGACTTATAAACTATACATAACATAAGTGTGAACAATGACATTACGTGTCTCGTTCTGCAATAGAGATCTAGATTATCTACTCAAAAGAAGTTAAGTAACATCCAATTCTTTTATATTTCTACAATTATTTATCGTTGCATGACAGAATGGATATTTTGCTCTCTGTAACTGGCGTACTGTTGTTTGACACAGTTGTAAGCTATGAGTTGAATGACGACCAACTGCAGTTGTACTGAAGAGGACAGTAACACAGTTTATGTGTAAATCATGGCATTCGGTACAACGTTAGATAAGTTGCCGCGTACTACACTTACTTTGAATGCTCTTCCTTCTGTGGAGGCCAGACAGAGGCAAACCACCAGCAAGCTGATCACTGCACGTGGAGACATCTTGATGTACTCTGTACCTCCAGACAATTGCTGAAACTTATATAGTCTCCGAGCTTCAAGAAATTAAAGATGCATGTTGATTTTCAGTAACGTCGATAATGTGGGTAGCGTCCGACATTCTGGAACAGTGCTAATTGTGTGACCACCCACTGGAAATCCGATTGCACATATACCAACAGGACCATCTGCAGAATTTGATATCACAGACGCTGATGGTCACTATTGACATACCATTACTCTACAGATATTGATATGTTGAAGACATTCACAATCAGCAAAAATACCACGTGGTAACTACGTGATAACCTCGTGTTAAGTAAAAGTTTGTTCTACAAGGCTGAAGGTGTATCTGGTCTAGAGACAATAGACAGGTGTGCGAAGAAGGGTGGTATGTTTCTAATGTTTTCCCAAACTATATACTAGTATGTCCAAAAGTTATTATTGATAACTGAAAAGTAAAACTTTCGTATGTTTTTCTTCGACTGTGTACACATGTAAAGAAAACGATTACTTAATGTAACTGGACATAATGGAAAGCCTGACCGATATTCAGTCTAAAAATTCATAATATGAAAAATATGATTTTTGAAACAGTCACTTATTATGTCTTTGTATGTAATGTGCTATGTTGATGGTGGGACACGTGGTTCTGTTGGGTGTTTCAACAGGACGGCAGCGAACATATGGGGTATCACTCCCCACTCACCACTCATAGAGGAAAGACTGTTTGTTGGAGGAAAATGAGATTCTTGCAACCTTTGATTGTAGTCTCTTCTTTGTTTATCCTGAAATCAAATTGGGTCGTTATTGTTTGCCAGGCAATACGGAATTAATAGATATTTTCAATTTGCTGTGCAAGATATCCCAAGTCAGTATTTTTAAACTCTTTGTTCCTGCAGGTGTGAAGTATGGCTTTGGCTATGTTTACATTTATATTTCAGACAACGCTGACGTTCGTACTTGCTATACCAATATGGACGAAAAGGTATAAGGCGTGTTACAACCCTCAATGTAAAAATTACTCTTAATGAAAAAAAAATGACATTAATGGTTACGGGTTAACTCTTGTTACAACCCTTAATGTAAACATTACTCTTAATATAAACATATATTACATTAAGGGTTGCGGGTTCACCCTTGTTATAACTCTTAATGTACAAAAATACTTTTACATTAAGGGTTGAAATGGTAGATAATATTGTTTTTACATTAAGGGTTATCACTATGAAATAATACTTATCGAACTTTCATGCAACTTCGCAGATTTAATTGATCGTTACTTTGTCTAGATGTGCAAATGACTAATAATTTTTCCTACCCTACAACGACCTCCTGGTTGTTATATTCAGGCTTCATAACCGATTTGTATCAAACTTACTAATAACAAAGGTTATTTTTCGATATTCTGCAAGGTAACCTCGTGACTATCCTAATACCGTAACGACGGAAAGGAGGACTCAGCCCAAGCAGATCAGGCCAAGTTGTAGATGATGGTTGGTTGTTAGAATGGTCTATTAACAGAGTTTTAGGCATAAAATAATGGACTTTTTCTTGCAGTATTACGGATATGACAGTTAAGCATACACCAGAATCAAATGTTATTACAAACGACTGGAATTCCAATGTAATGGTGTTTGGTTAGAATAAGAAACCGTAGGTTTCCCAAGTACCGTGCCGAGTCAAATATAGCCACTTAAAAGTTATATTTTTCGGATATGCAGTTTCTATAGCAGTTAAGCAGATCTTGTAGTAAGACCATTGTTGATTGAAGAAGAATTAGGCATACGGCCTGTAGAGTATTTCATGTCAGTTAGGGATCGACCATTCGATCTTCTGGGGGAGCTGACATATAAGCTATAAAAAGATAATTTTTACATTAAGGGTTGCGGGTTGTTACTCTCAATGAATTATTTTTTTTACATTAAGATTTAACGCATAAACCTTAATGTAAAGGCGCCACAAAGTGCTGTTAAGAGTTGCGTTCCTTATTTGTTCCAGGTTCAGCTGGTTGTACTTCGAATCCCAGATTCGCCCTGAGTATAAGCTTTGGCCTTATTTTCAAAATAAATAGAATTACTTGTAGTGTACATGAACGAAACTGAACGAGTCATACGTGCTTACACCAAGTACTACTCATACCCGTGAGATATACAAAAATGTATTTAATTTGGTCTTTTGCCCAAATAAAATTTACGAATTGAGATGCCTTGGGTCCACAGAGTAGAGACACAACATTGTAAGTGAAATGTTTTCTACAATACAGAACGCGTTGAATATACAAGGCTGTATCATTAAGTAATTCGGAATTATTTGTAAACATTAGAATAGGTACTGAAAGATAAATTGATAACAAATAATATTGGCTGAGTAATTTATACCTGTCCAAACTGAAACTGCATAGGTCGTGCGTGATATTGGTCTTCATCGGCGTTCCGACAACAGTTTACATATTCTTCCTGTTTTATGAGTAAGTGAGTGATTGTGGTTTTACGCCACTTTAAGCAATATTCCAGCAATATCCAGAAATGGGCTCCACACAAAGTGCCCATGTAGGGAATCGAACCCGGGTCTTCAGCGTCGCGAGCGAACGCTTTAACCACGAGGCTACCCCCCTCCCCCCCCCTGGTTTATGAAATAGCATCATACACATACAGTGGGTCTGCTAATTATGGTATTTTTGTTACACCAGGATATGATGCAAAGTAGTTATTTATCAAAATCGAAATGTTTTTGTGAACCCGGAATACGTCTATTTACAGGCGGTTTGTGCATGTTTCACTCCATTGGTTACTTTGTGCCATCTCCATGGTATAACAACGTGTAGCCACTGAAGAAAAACACTGTGTTATGACTTAAAGATATTATATTGTCGAAAAAGTCCCAATAACCAGGATTAATTGACGTGAGTAATGTGGGTTAACGCTGCTTTTAGCATTATTTCAGAATATCGCTTTGGTGGAACCCGCGAGCACAGAGATGCGTCACAGAGACCAAGGGTCAGAATCGGAGGTCATCCAGGGTTGGAACTTACGATCAGTGGATCCATCGTATGATGAAAGTATAGCGTCGACCACTTGTCCACGCGCACCCCTTCTCACATGGAACATATATTAGTTTTCATCATACTATGTACATTTGACATGGGCCGCCTCCGCGGTCTAGTGGATAGAGTATCCGCCCGGTATTCATGTCAAACAGCGAAATGGTATTCAGTGGGATAGCACTATGAAGTCGGCATTAGTCCTGGCTAGTACAAGCATCCACACAAACACGTGCATGTACGTCGCTATATCAGTGCAATAATCACATGTCTGACATGACATTGAGTTTCTTTTGCCAAAGACCATTAACTAGATAGTTTCAAGTCGATACAGCTTATTGGTAAAGAGTTAACAATATTTAAGACACATGTTGTTTTTTGTATCTTAATCCAAGTAATTCTGACCCGGACGCCAGCGTCAAAGGCAGCCATCAACGCGGAACTCAAGCAGGAATTACCAATGCTTTCATCTGAAATAATACGTGATCGTGTCGTTCGGTTCGCTATCGGTAACTGTTAAGTTTTACGACGATGATATTTTAACATTTTCAGTTGTCTAAACATGAATCAAACAAATAGTCGATGCACTTACTGGTATTCTGCACTTAGCAGGCTCAATCAAGAACCCAATGACCACGAAGGTTATTCAGTTTGTATTAAAGGTTAATTGTATGACAATGTACCAAATGATCTGTCCCCAATATCTAGAAAACAAATTGGTTTACTCTTACAATGACAACGATAGTTTAGTTCAGCTGGAATTGGTTGGGGAAGGGCACCGTAGCCCACATACAGGCAAACAATGTCTGTAGTGTGTGACAGATGAAGCATCGGGTAATTACTAGAGTTCACATTATAGAGTAGTGGCCAGACCCTCATACCCCTCCCCATAGTAGAACATAGCAAACTGAGATTTTCCTTATGTTTTTGTATCCAACAGACTAGAAAATGGTGGTTGTGGTCAAATGGGTTGGTGGCAGATACAGTCAAAATGCACTTTTCTGTTGTAAAAATGGAGAAACTCAAACATTGTCCCACTGAATTCTAGTAGACTGGAATTATTATTATTTTTAAAAATATAGCCTCTCGGAAATTGAGTTATTAGTAAAAATATTTTGCTCTATTTTCATTTTTAATTATTTGAAAAAGAACCGAAATGAGCTATTAGTATTATCATCCAAGCCATTTGATATCTCAAAATGAGCCGACACGCCTTATGATGAGATGGCAGTGTTCATATTACACATAATCGTTATGATTTAAAACAAATAGTAACAAAATGTCAAAATGTGCATTTGTTGTATTCACATTGTTAATTTCATTAATAATGGATTTATACAACACATACCTATCACCGTTTGCAAATACCTTTTCTATATAGGATTTTATTATATAAATCAATGATTATCTAAACCACCGAGGAAGGTCAATGTCACTTTGAAGGTCAAGTTCTAAATTAATACATAAATTCATAAAAATGCTACAAATGCACATACAACTATCATTACTGGTTCTGGGTATGCTTGGTAAAGATCTATAGAATATACGAGGAAACAAACTAAAAATGTGCACAACCAGATCAAAATAACTGCTGCCCCTTAGAGAACATATGTATTTACCTGTGAGAACAAGACAGTAACAAGATAACAAAGGTGGAAACAAGGGAAGCCAACAGTTAATTGGCTCTGATAGGTGATTAGCAATGGACAAATTGAACCGTATACATTCTCCGAGCCAATGGCAGAGGCACCAGCAGCGCAAGTCCCAACCCCAGAGGATGTATATTCCAGCTGTGTCCACCAATACATTGGATGTACCCTCAGATCCCTCAACACCAGACTCTATTGCTATTTCTTATCAGTGCTAATTACCCCCTGCCTCCCGTTTGCCCCTTGTTCATTGCCTATTTCCAACCAGTGATAAAGTCCTGCTGTCATCCATCAGCGCTTATTAACTGTTGGCTTACCT